GAAGTGTTACACGCTTTCAAAAAACTACATATTGTGAAAGCTTGCTTAGGTCCTCTTGAAAGGCAGCGTGCTTCATTTCATAAGGTTCTTCTGAGGCATGTGGAGGACAGGTCGGTGTTGCCGCTCAATGGATAGCTGGTGGTTGTTGGGCGATGGGGTTGCGGATGCATCTTGAAGCTGCATGGAGGCTGCAAGAAGGTGGTCTTGCGCTATAGTGACGTAGAGCTCCTTTGCACTGTCGCTGTGCCATCGGCCTAGATGCTTGAAAAGCCTATCAGGTATCCCCAGGCTGGCCACTGTGGTCGTGGCGCCCTTGCGGAAAGAGTGGGTGCCAATATTGGTGGGGTCCATGCCTGCTGCGGTAAAGGCTTCCAGACACCAGTTCCGAATGGTGGTGTATGAAGGTGCGGCGTCCCGTGGGGTGGCTTTGCCTCTGGTCCCAAAGTCGCGAATCAGAGGCCCGTGTGGGGTGGCGGTGTGGCCTGCAAGGTGAATGAAGTGCAGCGTGCAGCTGACAGGGCAATAGGGTCCGGTCGTGGCGGCGATGGGGACCCAGGTGCCTTTGCTTTCCTGATCCGTCTTGGAGTGTGGGATCAGGACCCACATTGCCTCGTCCTCAAATTGTACGTCATTCCACTGGATGCTGACAAGGTCCGAGTAGCGTAGGAATGCTGCGAACATGAGCAGCGGAATGAAACCCTTCTGGTTTGTGACTGGGTTGGTTGATTCGAGGAAGGGACGGGCCATAGTATGGACTTGGTGGAGCGACAAGGGTTCCTCATTCCTCGTGGGGCGTGCCCAATGGCGTTTGGCAAATTCGCATACTTGTATCGTGAAAGGGCCGTTTATGGGAGAAGGTTTGCCGGTCATCCGGTGTGCGAAAGAGATGGCAGAGCATGTGAGGGATATGGCAGAGACGGTTGCTTGGTGATTGATTGCGTGAACAAGATAAGCGTTGTGTCCATGGTTGGCAGACAACCGAGCTTGAATTGCACGCAGAATGAACAAAATTTCTACCAGTACGGGTCATAGGTCATGATAGTGGAGGGCGCCCGGACGTGGGTGGTTATGCGAAGTAATTGTGTCTTTAACATCGAGAGCATGCCTCTAAATAAACACCATACATGGAGGAGTTATATCTTATAGGTTACATGCAAGGCAATCATCTGGCTATGAGGCAGGCCTTGGCCGGCAAAAGCAACGAGTGTGTGCCAGGGCGGAGACATTGGGTGCCGTGGGTGAGTGGGATATGGGCTACTATCTACGGCACCCATTCACGGGGATGATAGTTGGAGGAGTGGCCACCATGATGCGCCGGGCCATTCGGGGATGACCAATGTTAGCTCAGCACGTGTGCGTTGGGCATGTCGCAGGGTGGCTGGAATGTGGTGGGGCGGGGGAAATGCGAAGCCATGCTCGTGCTGCCAATTACACTGGCAGAAAGTATTGCCCGGATAATTGCCTTAAAACATTTCTCCTACCGGTTTGGTGCCTTTTTTGTCAAGTTACGAATCAAATTTCGGCATTGGCTGTAAAGTAGTACTGTAGTGTATGTGACAGATGCTTGGTTCAGTTTTTTAGGGGTCGATTTTTTAGCGAGGACGAGAATTCGTTCACGTGGGTGCATCCGGACAGTTCAAGCCAAGCAGCGTACGAGATCTATTTCCTAACCTCGCTTTTTCTACTTACTTGCCCTCGCGACTATCGAGTAGTCAGGAGATAGGCTAGGACCGCTGCGACGATTAGGCCGTCATGAAACCGATAGATGCGGTGCGCCGCGCACGGATCATTACCCTGTTGAGGAGGGGTTATATCACTCGTCGAATCGCTAAACAGCTAGGCGTGGGCAAGAGCACGGTCCACGATTATCGACTTAAGGCGATTGAAGAGTCTAGCCGCGATGCCGTGCGTCCTACGATGCCCTCAGCCGGTCGCCCTCGCTTAGTGATAGAGGGAATTCGCCGTGGCATAGTTCGGTCGATTACTAGCGGGGAGGCCAAAACCTCCGCTCACGCGGCGAAGATTGTCGAGATGCAGCACGGCATCATGCTGCATCCTAGGACGGTACGTAATGCTTTGAATAGCAGTGGACTTGTTGCCATCCAGCAGCCCACGAAGCCGCGACTCTCTCGAAAAAACATACGCGATAGGCTAGAATGGGCCCGTGCCCATGCCGACTGGACGGTTGACGACTGGAAGCGGGTGATCTGGCCGGATGAGACCAAGATCAATCGGTTTGCTTCCGACGGACGCTCCTATGCCTGGGTTCGCGAAGGTGCTGCCCTCCAAAGCCACCAAATCAAGCAGACCGTCAAACACGGGGGCGGCTGTTTGATGATTTGGGGGTGCATGTCGTATGATGGCGTGGGTTTCATGTGCAAAATAGATGGTAGGATGGACGGACCGCTCTATCTGAGTATACTGCAGGACGAGCTCAATAGTACGATTGAGTTTTATCAACTTTCACCCTCGGAAACTATCTTCCAGCACGACAACGACCCGAAGCACAAGTCGCGTATCGTGCAGGAGTGGCTTAGAGAGCAAGAGTTTGAGGTGCTAGACTGGCCGTCTTCCTCACCCGACCTCAACCCAATAGAGCATTTATGGGCTCATCTCAAGAGGCAGCTGGCCAAGCACGAGAAGCCTCCCACTGGTATGTTGGACCTTTGGGAGCGTGTGCAGGAGGAATGGGAGAAGATCTCGGCGGATGTGTGCATCCACCTGGTGGAAAGCATGCCCAGGAGGGTGAGGGTGGTAATTAAGGCGAAAGGGCGGTGGACTAGGTACTAGTTTGGGGTTGATGTAACTTGCTGCTTGTGCCTGGCAATAATTGTCCGCATGTACCATGATTGTTAATTTCTGTTATTTGTTGTAAACATCTATATCTTTGTGAGATGTAAGGCATGGGCGTAGAGCTTTACCCCAACCTACATACACTAGGCACACCAAAAGATTAAGGCTTAATGTCCATGACCCCCTAAAATGGCAAAATTCCTGGAAGTCACAAACATGTGGACAATACTTTCCGCCACTGTAAGTGAGAAAGCGCCAATCGCTGTTGCCTCAGGATGAGGGGACTTGGAACAGAACCGCTGCAGCTGGGCATTGCATACGTTGGCAAAAAAATCGATGGAGTGAGGTCCAAGTCGACGATCCAAGAGCCAGAACTAGTGGGTTTGGAGTGAGTAGTCGTCGTAGTCTTGGACTTTCGAGAGCTCATCCCCGTGGGCGTTCATTTCTCTCGGGATCCATTCGACAGCGAGTTTCGTCTGATTCTCCAAGCACATTCTGATGATCGCTTGACATAGCATCGTGAGTGACGGGTGGCGTGAGCCGCCCTTGCGAAGGATGAACACCACCCCTTGGTTGTCGACGTGAACCAGCAGGTGACGCCTGACGAGGTGGGTGGTGAATGTCCTAAGTGCCCAAAGGACGCCTTTGAGTTCCCTTCGAGTGCTAGAGGTGGGCACGAGCTCTTCTGGCATGCGATCGCTGGCCTCGATGTGCGTGCCAGG